CTATCACCACTAGACACAGAACTACTTTTTCCAGAAGTGGAAGAAAAGGCTGGAATTTTTGAGGCGGATAGAATTGGGGAAATAGTTTTATAGTCCCCACCAGCTTTCTTAGCACTTCCATTAGCCTGTAAATAAAGATGGTGGGAGACAGTTTAAGTTAGCATACATCACAAAGCATGGGAATACGTAGGAAATTAAGCTTGAGAAGAATAAGAATGACTTGTTCAAACCTGTCCTAAGTCTTGCATTTATGGGCTGGATCTTTCCCCATTTTTCCTGTCCCTTTAAGCTGCACAGCAGAAAATGCACAGAGCAAGAGGAAGTTCAAAGAAAAGGGTATGTGGAAAAGTGACCCCGAATATGGGGGCTGATCAGCTGATGAAACATGCGTCAGAATTGTTAAGGTGAAGATGGAAACACTCCGGTGGGTGGTTAAGAGGTGCTGACTGAAATCTGTTAAATAGGGAGTTAGTATAAACACTTTAATCAGAAACACTTCAGAATTGTTGATTCCTATTGCTGACTTCAAAAAGTATTACAGCTGAGTACTGGAACAAAACTTCAAAAGCAGGAGATGTTTGCCACGACATGCACAAGCTGATATCAGAATAATGCAACTATTAGATACTTTCATGCCCCACACCCTCAAGCCCTGGATTCCAATTCAGGATTTTCACTGAGAAGACAGTTCATGATTTGGTAGCATCCAAAACTGGCAACTGGACTTATACACTTATGCAAAGCATACATCTTAGTACTGATTTCATCCCAAGATTTGGTTTAGGGTAAAACTACCTGTCTGTACTGGCGTTGATCCTGTAGCTTGTGCTGTTTGACGGTCTTGTCCACACCTCCTTGCCTACTTTTTGTGGCTGCAGGGATTGGCATCCTGCTTGTCTGTGAAGTGTTGGTTGAATTCTGTGAGGAAAGCAGGAATAAGGGTAGGAAGGGAGAGAGGGAGAGAGGTCAGCTGGGCTCATTATAGATGAGAACTATCATAGCGCATGGGGAAAAGCTGCTTTAGGTGAGAAGCTAAAGCTCAACATGCATGGAAAGCACCAGAGGAAACCACATCAAAGTCAAAGACAAACCACTGGTGTTAATTTCAGGAATCAAAAATGGAATAAAAGGTCAACTGCTAATCAACCTTAATTTAACTGCTGCACCCACAACAGAATATCAACTAAGCATCTTATGCCCACCACCAAAATCAAACAAAAATCAGCATTTTTTAAAAAATGAAAACACACAATATTAGCTGTTAGGTACTAAATTGGATGCACCAACAAGCCACCGGAAAAGAAGCAAACCAATCAGAAGACACCTCTTGCTTATTGTTGATTACTATTGCAGATTTTTAGAAAGCAGCTGGAGTTGTGATTTCTCATACTAAAGTACCTTTCGTGAAGATGATCGTATTGAAGGAAGGAATTCAACATCAGCATTGCTTTCTTCCACCACTATGGATTCTTTGGGTGAGAAAAAGCCTGGGCCAGGAGGTCTCTCCGCCTGGCCTGTGGTTTCAAAAACTGACTTTGGACTCATCTCACTAATGGTGCTCTCTAGCTGTTTGATAGTTTGTTCCAGGCTGTCTAGAGTTCTGTATGTGTTCTTCCTGATTTCTTCAGTTCTAGATGCCTGGACAACTGTCTTTGATTCTGATTTTTCAGAAGTGTTAACAGATTGAGAACTAGGTATTTCAAATCTTTTTGCTTCTTTATGTTGTTTTACGGTGCCATCTTCCTCTTCTTCTTCATACACAACAACTTGTAACGTTTTCTTGCCTGTTTTAGTTCCTGTGCGGATAGCCTGAGTGAGAGCAGCTAATTGCTTTTTAGGAAACTTAAATTTAAATTTCTTCTTAGCATCAGGAACATCCAACTTTGATTCTGACCCATAAATGTAACTGGATTTCTGATGCTCCTTTTTGTCCATCTCCTGTCCTTCAGACTGTAGAACTTGGGTTGATGAATTAGAGGAAATTTGTTGTTTGAATTTCTCAGTAACCTGCATCCTATTTGCCTCAGTGACATCTTCATAGTAAGCATCATCAGGTGTATCAAATTCTTCATTTTCTTCCTCTATTTTTTCTTCAGTCATCATTTTTTCCAACTCTTCATCACATTCCTCAAATATTGTTGAAAGTCTTTTGTAAGCTGATCTGATATCCATTGGTTCATCAAAAATAATGATGACTGGTTTTTTGTCCAAGCAAACCACTGGTTCTTCATCTTTAACAGTTTCAAGCATGCTTGGTTGAGATGGTGTTTCTTTCTTGGAATCAATGTTCACAGTCTGTACAGCATTTCCCTTCCTGTTCACTATGTCGTGAACTTCTCCACCTGATAGAAACTGAACAGCTGTTCTAGTAATCATGAAGCCAACATTCTCTGATTGTGAACTCTCCTCATCTGGAATACTAGCTGGTGACTCTACTTCATCAGTATCATTTAAGGTGATGTTCTTAGATGCTTTATGCTTTAGTGCGACTTGATTATAGGCACTAACTGACCTTCCCTGTTCTTGTGTTGATGGAGAAACTAATGACGTTTCTTGGGTGCATGAATCTGTCTGTTCAACAAGAGGTACCTTTGCATCTTCCAGGAGGTCTTTTGGGGATGTGCTATGATCCGTCTCTCTCACTACAACATAACTTGGTTTTTGTCTTCCAATCTCTGCTTCTAAATCTTGTATTTCTTCAGGACATCTCTTTCTTTCGTTTTCTAACATACTAGAGAAGTCTGTGTTTGGTTTAAAAAATTTTTTGTTGGCATAATCCTTGTTTTCCAAAAGCAACTCTGGCCTAAAGGCAGAGTTTTCAGGTATGCTGAAAACACCTGAGATCATGACTTCTGTTCTCCCTTCAGTCTTGTCCTTGGGATGGTCACTATCTTTTGTGGCCTCCCCATCAACCTAGGGGGGGAAGAGTTGCATTACTTAGGTTTTTGCTTTTGTTTTAGTTCAGGACTATTATTTGACATTCAGTCCCCTCTTATGGAGATTTTATCTGATGTTATCCAAATCAGTGGTATATCATCAGATAGTATATGTATGCCCCTCTTTACATCAATACACAGCCATTTCCATGGTCTTCAGTTGATTTCAGTATCTCTTCATAGCATAACTTCAAATTGTGAACAACATATGACATATAAGTACAAATATTTTGCAGACAATGTGAATGTTAGATGGAGCTGGTCTTTTAAAGGCTCTCCAAATTGTGAAATACTTTGCCCGCAAGTAAATCACGAGAGATTCAAAGAATTCCATTCCAAATATTCTAATATGTAACTGTTCTCCTAGCTTAAAAAAACATAAGTTATACCACTATATTAGAATGTGTGGTCCAAGAATTACTTATGGGAATTGTTTTTTCACCCAAGTTTAATTTTTAAATGTTTTCTCAACTTCTGTGATAAAACATAAATTTTTAGAGAGTAAACAAGCCCTGGACTTATTTGACAGAAAAGGATTTACAAAAAAGTGGCAGAGCAAATTTTATTCCAACCTTCCTGACAAATTAACCTACAATTAAATTCAAGATAAGGTTGTGGGAGGAGCTATCAAGAAAGAGAAACAGATCCTGCCATATAGATGAAATGTGATGCCAAGTGAAACTGGATTATTCTACTGTATTTGTCCAATATAACCTTGTATTTGGATAGCAAGACAACCTCTCTTAGCCCTCTAATCCTTGCATTCTTAAATTGCAGCTTTTGCTATTGGCATAAATACTCCTACAGTAACTACAAATTCTGCAGAGGACAAATGATTCCTATTTCATCAATCATTCAAATATTAAGAAGAATTGCATCAAACTTCACTTTTAAAGAATGCAACATTGAATGCAGGGACTGAAAATGCAAGTGGCTGCTCTTAGTTTTGCTAATCTTTCAGGTGCCCCATATGGTTAAAAGAGGGTATGAAAATTTGAGATCAATTCGGAAGACCAACCAGCAAACCAAAGATCTTTAGAAAATACAGTGGTATAAAAATAGAGGTGGTCCTTGACTTACAACAGTTTGTTTATTGACCGTTCGAAGTTACAACAGCACTGAAAAGTGACTTATGACCATTTTTCACACTTATGACCATTGCAGCATCCCCATAGTCACGTGATTTACATTTGAATGCTCAATAACTGGTTCATAGTTATGACAGTTGCAGTGTCCTGAGGTCATGTAATCATATTTTGCGACCTTCTGACTAGTAAAGTCAATGGGGAAGCCAGATTCTCTTAACAACCATGTTACTAATTTGGCAACTGCAGTGATTCACTTAACAAACGTGGCAAGAAAAGTTGTAAAATGGGGCAAAACTCTCTTAACAAATTTCTCACTTAGCAACATAAACTCTGGGCTCAATTGTGGTTGTAAATCGAGGACTACCTGAATTAGTTTAGTTTAGTTTTAACCATTCAGTCATATTCAACTCTTGGTGACTTTATAGGCAAGTGGTCTGCATGTTACCCTGTCAAGCACAGCTTCTTTCAGTTGTTGGATGTTCAGCTATAAAAATATAATAACCCAATAAAGAAAGGGATGACAAATATAGACTATAGTGTGGTCTGTCATATTAGAAATTTAATTCAGCAACTATTTGGATTGAATTAAAAAATTCTATACAGATCACAATTATGATATCAAATTATGATGTTGAAATGTTAAATATACAGCCATTACTAAATTTAAATATACTATTTAATATACTATTATTGCCTTGGCACTCTAAAGCTCTTGTAGGTATAAATAGTGTTTTTTTTAGTGCAGAGGACGATTTTACCAAAAACAAGATGGAAAGAGAACTGTCAGCAAATAAAAGGGAGTTTTAAGTTTGCTATTACCATGCAGAGATAGTGTGTTAGCATTCAGTTCATGCAGACTAAACCGCAGTAAAAGAAGAAGAAAAAGCATCAAAGCTGTAGGTGTACTGCTGGGGGGGGGGGGGGGGGAAGCAACAGCTGCACTTCAGGGGCCAGAAATTAATCCTGGACAACTTTATTATTAAACATTAATTTTAAGTAGCAGAATTATTCCTGTTGAATTATTTCTGTTCTCTGACTTACTTTTCTTTCTACTAACATTTCATTACCAAGGTAGGTAACATCATCAGGGCATACTGAAATGCAGTTTACTGGTTGTTTCGATGAGTAGTTTGTCTATAGCTAATGATGCTGCCTATTCTGTCATGACATGTTTACTGAAGAGAAGCAAGTTCAGAGACAATCAGGGATCCAATGAGCAACAAGATTATCCTCTATGACAGGGGCAGGGAATGATGGCTCTTCTATGACTTGTGGACTTCAATTCCCAGAATTCCTGAGCCAACCATGCTTAAAGTCATAAAGGGGTCATCATTCCTGACCTCTGTTCTATGAGAATGATCCCTGTTGTTGGGACACAAGTGATGCCTTTATCTGTTATAGGTTCTCAGGCATTCTTTGTGTGACATCTTCCTCAGGATCTCCCCTAGCATTGCCACATAAACCCCATTTCTTAGCATCTGCTATTTTGTACATACTGGCTAAAGGGATGAAAGAAGATGCTTTATCAAACCTGGTTTTCAATAATGCACTTTTTCCTGTTTGAGGAGCCCCATGAACATGTCTGCACTGGTAATCTTTGCTATAAATAAGAATGTGACTCTATCAATGGGGGAAAAGGAATTGAAATTAACTCTTGAGTTGAATTTTCCATTGGATGCTGTCTTTTCATTGCTTCAAACTGCCTCACGATTATTAAGCACCTATTCTTATAAGGTCAATGACTACTTATTCAGTTGAACCTTAAAATGATTTTAGTGTCAACTTTAAGACACCTCCACTCATTTTTATAACTAGATTTGTGCATTTTGCCTTCTGTTCCAGTTTCCAGTTTGAGTTGTGTTTTAGCTGTGTAATTGTTTTAAATTCTATCCTTTTTAATATGCAAAGTTTTTAAAGAGTCACTACAGAATTTTGTTATTGTGAAGTTAAAAATTGCTAGTAATGTCTAGTAAATGCTTTTACATTATTCCCTGCCCCACTATTTATGAATATGTAAGCTACAAATTAAAAAATAAACCTATGACAGCAAGACCTGAAAAAGGAATTAATATTGTGTAATCCACTTAATAAATAAATATGTTAAATTCAAACTGTAGATTTTTTCATTATGAAGAGACAAGGAAACAAAAACAGTTTTTGCTGTGCAATTTTATACAATTTTATCATAACGAGGCTTGCTACCAGAATGATATATAAATGTTTGTAAATCTGGATTATTCGCTAAAGCATGACATTAAAACAGACAACTTTCATTTAATTTTTTTAAATTTATGTTCTCCTATTGTAATTCATAATTGATTCTGAAAGGACATTTATGAATTTGATTCTGATTATCCATTCCTGTTCTCAAGAAGAGTCCAGTAGACTCTGTTTATTAACAGATGTATTCTGTTTATTAATTCTCTTTCGTCCAAGGTAAATCATAAATGAAAACAGCCATCAAGACACACAGAATTAACCTGATATAAGGTTAGTTTGGAAGGATGGGAAGAAGGTAAGGCTAAGAGATTGTAGTAGAGTTCAAATGACCCTGTTACCTTCTTCTCCTTAGGATGCGTTAAGGCCACAGACCTCGCATCTTTTATGTGTGTATCATTTCTGGACTGTTCAGCATGATTGTTTGAGTTTATATCCATGTAAGAACACTTCTGGAAGGCCTAGAGGATTAAAATAGGGCAGGTTATTAATAAACATTTCCCAACCCTGAGCCAATTCTTTCTTTGTAGGGAAATCATGTATACACTTTCCTGAATCAATTGATAAATTTTGTATGTGAGCCTTAAGAATCAGCCTCATCAATCAGATCAAGAAAAACAGGTTAATAATCTGTGTATGATAAATAAACACTGAAAAATCTTTTCCCATGAAATATAACAAAAAGGTGGAATTTAGCTAGTTCAGATAGTGCTTGTTTAGGGACAACAATTGGGACCAGCAATTTGCTCTTTAACAAAGCAGTAACAAAGCAAAACTGTGTGCTTAACTATCGTATTTCAGCTTGCTGCAAAGATCATAAATACAAGGATTGATTGTAAAGTTACATTTTCATCACTGTTTAACTGTGAATGGTTGCTTTATGAGGCAATTTCTAAAGAAGGACTATTTCTACCTTTGATCTATAAAAAGATTCAAAAACTAAAACTACAGCCATTTTTTTTCCTCCTTCAAAAGTAGTTTAAGGACCATGATAAAAAAAATAATAACTTTCTGGTTTAAGAAAAACTCTTTAGACTAAAATTTCCTTTGCTTTGCTGATTTGTTCTATTTCAATTATGGTCCAGTCCTTTATGTTTCCATTAGTTAGCATCAATGAGTGCAAAATGGCTACAAATGGCTCCATTTTCTAGGCCTCAGCCTTCTGCTTTAATTGATTAATACTGATAAAAAACTAAACAATTATTTCTCTATACCAATGACTTTACCTTTAAGATACGTGACTTCAACTCCCAGAATTCCCCAGATACACTGAAGTCAAGCATATTAAAGCTGTTAAGGTTGATAAGTATTGCTCTATAGCATTCAGCTTGAATCCTCTGAATAGATTGGACTGAAAATTCATTTACCCTTGCAGCCAGTGTGAAACAGTAATGGAAGTTGGAGTTCAGTGAATGTAGAAGACATCAGATAGTGGAAGTCTTCTCTAGAAAAGTTAGGCTTCACCTCCTACCTTAACATGAGCTTATACTGTACTTACAAGTAACAATAACAATATAGCTTTGTTTACACAAGGTGGATATTTTTGGAGAGGGAGGTAGAAGGGGAGTCAGGATAGAGTGCCTCACAATCACTATAGCGGCAACATATTCCTAAAGACTGCCTATACAACCTAACTGATTTAATCTAAATCAGATTCAGATTTTTAATCTAAAAATGCCCAACCCTTATCACATCATTCTCAAAATTTTATGCAAGAACTTTGGTGCTTCTCCAAATCTTTGAATTTCTCATGCACCATCTAAGATGATAATAGTATTTGCACATAAGATAATAATGTGAAACTGCTGAAATTGTATGATTTGGGGTGGGATAATCATTTTGCAAGATTGCATTAATGATACTAGAAAATGTTGGCAACTCCCGGCCTATAGGCATTATTACATTGGCAACTGAAGCCTTGTTAAAGAACTATACAATCATCTACTTGTTAAGATGGCTGGTGATACTGAGGTCTAAGATAGAGACTAGTTTAATTATGAATATTTGTCTTTTATTGACTATAAAAGGAAAAGTAACTGCAAAGATTGTCTGGTTTTAAAAGTGCAATCAATTAAAAAAAAAACCTATAGTATACAGTTCAGCAAATGTCCATTTCAACAATTTTCATTGGAAGAATTAGAATGCAATTCAATTTTCGGCAATTAATGCTTTCCATAAAAATAGCTTCTACTTTATAACAATCAGTTTGTTTTGGTAAACCTTTAATACTGAATTATTTTTCCCTTGGCTCCTAATCCGTTTTAAAATTCAAGTCCCTGGAATTCATATCAAATCTTTGGTACCTTTACATTGTGACAAATAAAATCCTTAACAATATCCAGATTAACTTCCCTTCCTCTGAATTAAGTTGCAATGGTTCAATTTGGTTCTAATTTGGTTTAATTTAGAACCAAAAACTATATTTAAAATCTAAAAAAAGATGTTTAAATGAGAAAAATTTAGGAAGAATTTATGTTAATCCCAATCACTTACTTTGGTGACCAATATCTAAATATGAATCATGGAACTGGGAACATGATTGTCTGGCAGAATTGCTTATACCTAGCCTAGTTGTACTTCAAATTCCCTCTCATCATTGCAGGGAAACTTCTGCATTCTATTGTACTGCCTTCTAGGTTCCCTTAGAAAAGATACATGCTACTTTAGGCAAATTGATAAACTCAATCTCTTACCTGTAGTTCTGCCATTATTTTATCACCTTCTTCTTCTTCTTCCTCTTCATCCTTCATTGATGTGCTGGCTGATTGAAGAGAGACATTTTTTTCTGGGAACAGTTTGGACGATGCTGCTTGAACCGAATCTTCACTGCTTTCCTAAATTGCATGATAACAAGAAAGGAGAAGGTTACAATTCATCTGATTTATATACTGCTCACATAATCATTTCAATGTTTTTAGTTGGTGTTCTGGAGAAATCAATCCCATCCTCCTAGGGCAGGGCATCCCCTATTATCAAATCCGGATAGGAGGCACATTGTTGGGGCCCTTCTAAGCCTGCTTCCTATTGGATTTCGTTCATTTTTGCACCATGGTTGCCTATAAGCAAAGCTGTCAATGCATGATGCAGCATAAGTTTGTTTTTCCACTCAATGTATCCCATAGCCAGATGCAGACATGGAGGCTGAGAAGAAGCAACTGGCCATGATCACCCAGATGGCTTTCCTGCTTAATGGAGGACTAGAGTCTTAACCGCTATGCCATATTGGCCTTTTTGGATTTTACACATACATATAGTCCTTGACCTATGACTGTAATGGAGCCTCCCTATTATGTTTGCAAGTCATGATCATAAAGCTGTGTGACTGACCCAATTTTATGACTTTTTTTTACAGTGGTTATTAAGTGAATCACCATGGTTAAGTGAAACAGCATTCATTAAGCAAATGCTGCAATAAAGGGGATCCATGATTTGTTGTGTGTTTTTGTGAAAGACTGGAGTTTTTGGCAAAAATGTTGTAAATTGCGATCAGGTGATTGCAGGATGCCACAAATCGGTTACCAAACATCCAAGATGCAGTCACATGATTGCAATGTGTTTGAGACCGTCGAAACTTTGGAACTGAGACATAAGTACTGTGTTTCCCCAAAAATAAGACCCTGTCTTATATTTTTTTGAACGCTGAAATAAGTGCTTAGCCTTATTGCCATGTGCTCAAAAGCCCGATTGGGCTTATTATCAGGGGATGTCTTATTTTCGGGGAAACAGGGTATCTTTTTTGAGGGGGTGTTTCATAACTTTGAATCATTACTAAGCAACCAGTTGTAAGTCTAGGACTACCTGTATTTGACTAAAACATTTTCAGGTACTTTGATTTTCTTATTTTAGTTTGAAACTAACAGATGATTAAAGGAAAATATGCTGAAACCATTTTGATGGAACTGCTCTGATTCATTTTGTCCTTTTGTATAAGATGAGCTTTTCCAAGGTGCAAATACTTTCTTAAATATACATAGAAATGAAGCAGTATGAGTGAGATTGTATATTGGTAAGGCAGCAGAAAGGTTAAGTCCCATGTGCTGGGAATAACCTGCTGGTTAATGGTTATAATTATGGTGGGGATGGCACTTCCCTGTACAGTACTAACAACCCCACCTATTAAATAAAAAAATTAAATATGGTTTTAAATCTTATTTTTAAATTTCTTGCCTCTTAAATCATACCTCCCCTCCTCCCAATACTTAATTCAAAGTGATGTAAAAATAAGCTAGATACTATCTTGTCCCAAAATGTTTCCTGTTTTGGACATCTGAGGTGCCTCCATCATCAAACCTTGGAGATAGTGTTATCTTTTCTGGCTGTATAACTGACTTCACTCAGTCTTGTGCTTAATCCAGATCCTAGCACATAGCTTC